TACTACTACTACTACTACTACTACTACTACTACTACTACTACTACTATTACTATTTACTACTACTACTATTACTATTACTACTACTATTAGGTACCATTAATACTATTATTTTTACCATAAAACTATAACTCAATATTATTTAGTATTTTACTATATTATGCACAATTATTATATTAATATTGTTATGCGGCGGCGGCGGCGTTGCTGGTAAATGCGAAAGCACACTTTTGTGGCACGTGGCGCTGGTCGTGGTGGGGAGAACCGTCAACGTCGCATCAAACGGTCGTTTAAAATTCGAAATATACTTTTATATCAATACGTCAGCCGACGAGACGAAACTCGTGCGATCACGTGATCTCTTATTATTGTAATAACAAATCGGCACGGTGAAAACATCCGAGAAAAACTTAAGTTTTATTATCGACCGAACAGAATGTTTTGAAAATAAAAATGTATTTTTGTTTTTGTTTTTTTTTTCGTTTTGCCAACATGACTGAAGCGAGTTCCTATCGTACACAACACACTCCGGTCACAGGCAACGCGTTACGCGTGTGTACGACATTCAAATTTATACTCGCCCCGAGCCGTTATGTGCCTAAATCTTATGGGGTGCAGGTGGTGGGCCTAAGCGAGAGTTTTAGTGGAGGATATGGATAAAGGACACCACGACTTTATGTTATCGTGGTCCTGCGAGACGGTGTGTTACATTATGATATCATTTGTTTTTTTTCCAATGATCCCGCAGGGTTGAAGACAAAATGCGTGCTCATCGGATATCGGTCGAAAAAAACATCGATATTGGACGTACTAGCGGTCGCTTATATCGTTACGAGACGATACGAATTCAGCGTGTACGGCGTACGGACTGAGTGTTTACGGGTAATGGGTATAGAAGAGGCAGTACTCACAGAACTTGTTCTTCTCGGCGAACGCACCGTCCGTCAAGAGAGCGGCCGCCAGGAGGACGGCCACGATCGCGTGGAGAGTCGTCGCACCGCGTGGCGGCCCGGGTCCCCGGTCTGGTGGTGGCCGCATGGCCGGTTGTCCGTCCACTACGGCTTCGTGATGTCGATATGACGAGTGCGCGCCAAATGAAAACCGTCACGTCCGACCACTGGCACAGGTCGGCGACGTCTGTGTCGGCAGCGGCGGTGGCGACGACGACGACCACCACCGAAAAGGTAACGACGTGATGCGCTCAAGTCGACTGTCGGTCCGCGGCGGCGGCGGCGGCGTGTAAAGGTGATGGCGACGGCGGTAGTGAGCGCGCCGGTGTCGCGGTCTGGCCGTGGCGCATGCACGCCGTCGGTATCGCGCGGCGCTTTCGAGGCGGTGGCGGCGGCGGCCGAAAAAACTCTCTCCGCCGCCGCCTCCCTTCGTACCACGCGCCTCTTCGGCCGACGGGCCGCGACCGACCACGACCCCTCCCCGCAAACCCCGACAACGCCGCCGTACACTCCGACGGCCCGAAGAAAATCGCGCGCGTCCGCCGGGGCGCTCTGGCGTTTAGTTTAATGATGCGAAATACCACCGCCCCCACCCTCCCCCACGTTATATTGATCAGCGGGCCGGCGCGCGGCGCCACCGTCAGCTGCGCGCCAGCAACAGCAGTGCGCATCGTACGGCCGATAACGCGGTTCGTCCTTCGCCGCCGCTGTTCGTCCGTCACCGCCGCTGCGATATCGTCCCGCATTCCTCGTCCCCGCCGCGTTATCGTAATGCAGATGCGGAAGAGACGGCCGCGAGTGGCCGACGCGGATTACTTGTCGCCAGCTGCCGTACAGATACGGCGCGGCCGCGGCCACGGTGACGAGAGCGCGCCGCCGATCATCTGACGAGTCGCGGTCCGCGAGTTGGAGGGGAGGGGTGAGAGCTAAACCGTTTAAACGATTGCTGTTGCAATTACCGTCAACGGTCGTCGCTTCGACGCCGCGCCGAGCAATACGGTCACGTGTGGTAAACCGTCTCCGTACACCAGGATAAAGGGACTGGGCGTGGGGTATGGCAAGGTATGGCGGAATAATTCGCCGACGGATTTTCGACATTCCGTTAAACGTGACGATAAGAATAATCGCTTTCTAAATAATTCGTAGCCCTTAGACATCATTATTATGTATTAAACGTGCCAGCTACAATACAATATCGTTAAATATTGGCTAAAAAATGCGAGGAAATAGAAAACGAATGCGCTAAAACCGCGTTTACCGTTTACCTGAAATGTATATACAGATATTGTGACTTGATAATGGATTTTAATGTATTATATCATACTAGTGTGTTTTATACTATTGAGTGTACCTTTTATTTTATTTTATCTTCTGGCAATAATGACAAAAAGCGAGCGAATACGTAACCGATCTGATGTGCTTAGCTGTAGTTGTCTACTCTCTAGTATACTGAACCCTCGTTGAGTATAGGTCACTGTAATGGATGTGTTAAATTTTAATTAAATGATAAATAATACGAAAAACGATTCTGAGTGAAGACGGCCTCATCGGCCTATACGAAGATTACTTTATTATAAATTAATATCCAATTAGATACTTTAAATCAGGGGTCGGCAACCCGCGGCCCGCGGGCCACATGCGGCCCGCAGAGCAATTTTTGATGGCCCGCACAAAGGTGGTTAATTTTTATGTTTTACTTTTGTTCAATAACATTTTTCATATAATTTTCAATATTATATAATTCTTTTTCCTTTATAAATAAAATCTAATCTAACCGTTTCATAATAGCAATACAATTATAAGTATTATATCATAATATGTCATTTTTTTTTTTTTAATGTGGCCCTTGATGAACAATTGAAAAAAAAAAATGGCCCGTGTGGTTAAAAAGGTTGCCGACCCCTGCTTTAAATTATAACTTTAAATTTCTATGAAAAAATAAAAAATAAAAATCTATGTTTTCATTTATACATTACTAAATTTGTTTAGTGCAAGAACTATAGGTGAAAAATGTTCTATTATATTTTCAAACCTTAGGTAAATAAAGTGTAACTATTATATTATGTTTTTAATAAAAAAATAATTATACTAGTGTATCTTTAATACTTTAAATTTCAATGTGAAAAATGTATGTTAAATTCTACTTAATGTTTTCAAGACTTGATCCAAAACCTAAAAAATGTATTAGCATGTTATTTCAAAGTATAATTATTTTATATTGTAAATTTCGATAAATAGCTTTAAATGTATTCTAATTATTTGAAAATTGTATTATTATAAGAATATAAAATAATAATTTAAGTAACTTTAGGATGCTTCAAATTTATACGGTAAAAATATTTTTTGAGTAACAAATAAAAAAAATTAAAATTGTTGTTTATGTGTGAATATTATACAATTTCAACAAAAGGTAAACTTCAGACACTCATAAAAATATCTAGGGAATTACAACTTTCTTTGATAATTATTGGCTTTTTCATTTCATAAAAATTATATAAAAATATATTATATATGTATAAAATATATTTTAGTAATAAATATAATATTAGAAACATTATTTTTTTTAAACTTATTTTAAATATTGGTTCTATTTATTTTGGAAATTTCAAATTTAATTTTTAATGCAATACTTAAACCACTAAAAAATTATGATAATGGCTTACAAATAATTGAATGGCAGTTATCAATCAACAATTTTTATAAATAGACATAGGTTATTTTAAATTTACATTTATATCTATAATTAATTGCCTAGTTATATAAAATCAGAACTATTTATTTTTTTAAAGTTGAAATGTTTTTTTTTTATTTATTTATTATTTTTTTTTTTCGAAGAGTGATGGATATAAAAATATTTTTATTAATTCCAGGTGCGCATTAGTTCATAATTTTGGTAGTGTGAAAATCATGTATATTATTATTATTATTATTATTATTTAAATAACAGTGTCTCATTACAATGTACACATTATATTTTGATCTGATGTTGAGGATTTACAAAACGGGTTTATTTTGCACATTGCTAATAGACTTTTCAATAAATAAATATTTATGCTTATATCAGATATTCGTCGTATATTTAACAAATTTTCTGAAGTTTTAGAAAATAACAAAAACGTATTTATTGTCAACGTATTTATTTGTTATAACTTTATATAAGTGTATAATCTTCAGATTCTCTAAAAGAACAATAATTATTAGATAGGGTTAATTTGATCCATTTTAAGAATTCCTTATTATGAGAAATTAGATATTTACATAGATATCCATGATTATAATTTTTAAAAAAATTAGACCTCCGTCGTTTTAATTTACAAACGATCTGAGAATGTTTCAGGTGATATATTATATATATGAATGGTGCTGGTTCCAATATCATTACATCACATCACATGTGATACAATACCCAATATTTAGTGAGTAGTGCCGAAATAGACGATAGGACATATTAGGTTTGATAACTATAGATATTTGGGTATAAGTATAAATAATTTTTCACGTATTTTAGTGTAAAAATTCACTGTTTACTAGTATTTTCTTTTACAAATTTTATTTTTATGTAACACCATTTGAAACTAACACCAGGGCCACCTGCTGATACAAATTAATATCCGTATTATAAAACTCATAATTACGACAACCGTTCTTTATTTTTAAAAGTGATTTCTAAAAAAAAAATAATAATGATTTTAGGTTATTTTAATAATTCTAAGGACTTAAATGCTTTATGTTCTTTTATATTCTCCATAGATAATTCAAACGTTTTTAGAATATTTTGAATAACTTTAAGCTATTTAAATATTTAATCATACACCTATTCACACTGTTTTACGGTACGCGCCACGCGGTATTAACTTGTAAATTAATAAAAATAATACATGATACCTATAATATTATTATTGTATAATAAATATATTTTTTATTTTTTTTACATAATTCAATATAACATATTGTACCTATTACTTGAAATTAAATATTTATTTTTTATATAAACTTATAAATAGAACATCAGATAGCATTACCATCCGAAATTGTTGTAATAAAATAAATGGAATAATAATATTGTATAATTTATAATTAAATGTAATACTTCCTGTACAGTAACCTAGTTAATAATCAGACACACTCATTGCCTACCATACATTAGAAAAATGTTAGTGAAATTAAACATTAAATTTCTCAGTTTTTTTGTCCAATATACTCCCAGTCTTAACTATAAGTATAACTCATAAACGTTCATTTCTAATGAAATTAATAATAACAATTGACAATAATTAGCAATTAATAAAAATAATATATATATATATATTAGGTTAAATTTAGACTAGTCTAAATTTAAACTAAAGACTTAGAATAAATGTAATTGTATATATTATTATTTGTATGCCTAAGTATACAACTAAATTATCATCAATAAATTATTAGCAAGTTAATTATCTGTTAAATATATATAGATAGTCATTTTATTTATGAAGATAATTATAAAATCGTACAATTTTGACCATTAATATAATGATATAATGTTGCCACCATTGAGCAATTTAGAGAAAATTGAATAATAAAATTGTCTAAAACAACTTTTTTCCATAATGGTGGTCATTCGAGTTATACAACATATGTTTATAATTAATAATTAATAAATTAATAAATCCCAATTTATTATTTTATTGCTTATAATTTAAATACAATAAATGTTGGCAAACGTTTTTATTGCGAATATATATTTATACATTGTATAAGAGAATAACGTAGTACACTAAAATATTCAAAATACCCCGCATATAATGTTGCATTTACATATTATGATAAAAACAATACAAATACTAGTACATACTATGCACATATTCAACTACGCTTATACATAGATGTGAAATAATACTATATTCTTTATTGCAAATTAAAAAATGTATTTCAATTATAATTCAATTTTAATAACTACGCTTATAAAATGTCATTTAATCGTTTCAATTAATAAAATGAGCTTAAAAGATAATTATATCAAATTGATTAAATACAAAACAATTTATATCAAAATATAATATGCACCTAATAGATATAATGAATTATATATTATAAATGCAAATTTATTTTAATATGAAAATATAGATACAAAAATCAAGGATATTTTTATTTAAAATGTAACTTTCCATCATACATAAATATAATTATATACCAACTTGAATAAACAATTATAATTTTCAATTATTTTTATAAACTGCAGTAGTATTTAGTTTACCGATAATTAAATTTAATATTCAAAAAATGTATTAAAATATATTATATGAAATAGTTTTGAAATAATATACGTTGA